TCTGGTCCCTTCCCTTCCTGTCTGACTTTGTCCCCCTGTGATTCCTGGACACCATGAACTGAGCAGTTTTGGTCTGCCAAGCCCATCCACCATGATGTTTGTGCCTTGAAGCAGCTGACCATGGACTGAACCCCCTGAAACCATGAACCCAATATACTTTTCCTCCGTTAGATTGTGAGGGTTGGTACTGTGGTCTCACAACGGGAAAGCCGACTGGCAGAGCATGGGCTAAGGAAGGTGCCCAGCCCTGACATGTGACATTTGCCTGGGAGGCCAAGAGCACTGTCTCCCACAGTCGGCTTCAAGGTGAAAGTCACCATCCAGATGCTGCTGACTTTCCGAGGCGGAAGTAACTGTTGACCATGCTAGCCAGGGGGACTGCAGGGTCCCTGTCCCAGTCCCCTCCCTGTGTGCGGGGACCCTGGGCCACCCAGATCTTACTCCCTCACTTCCCCCATACCCACCGTTGTCCCGCAGTGTCTCAACCCCTGACTCCCAGTAGAAGGGACCGAAGACACGGCTTCAAGGCAGATCTGAAGAGGGACGAGCCGAGTCCACCATGCGCAGAACCAAGTCTGTTTACAGAAGAGCAGTGCCCATGTGGCCTCCAGCTCCAGGCTGACCCAGGCTTCCAGGGGACAGAAGGCTGGGGGAAGTGGAAGAGTCAGAAATAATGGGAGATGAGGGAAATGAGTTTTCCCAGATCCAAAGCCGGAGACAGCGAGCAGTTTCCAGACCTTCAGGCCGTCAGGGAGGCCCGACCCGAGGAGCAGCCTCCAGAGACAGAGCTGCTGCTGGCTGCAGAAGGTGGGCAGCTGGACCCTCAGCTCTGCATGGGTGGGCAGGTTCCTGCTGCAAGCATTTCTCACACTTGCCACACACAAGCAAAGCAACGATGCGTGAAAGAGCCCCTCACTGAGAGGTTTAATCCAGCACCCCGAGATACTGACTGCTCCCCTGGAAGAGAGCTGGCCTCAGTCACTCAGGCGTCTGTTGTCCCTGTTACACCCCATGGGGTGAGCACATCCCCCATTTAATTTTAATTTGGTCTTTTGAGGCAGAGCATTGCTGTGTATCTCAGGCTGGCCTTGAACTCAAGGCGATCCTCCTGTCTCAGCCTCCCGAGTGAGCAGATGTTCACCACCAGGAGCCAATACCATAGGTGGCTTTTTATAAGAAAGAAGAGCTACATTGTAGGTTGTGCAACACAAGGATACCCTGTTCTGGGTAAAGCAGTTTTCATACCTGGAGGGAAGCAAAATGGAGCAAAGGTTGGCTGTAGCCTGTAGTGGACACCACGTATGACAAAGTGAGTGGCACTTGTGGATAGAAGAGCCATTGCTGGCACCACGGCTGGAACTCTGGGCCCATGAGGCACTTTCTCCTTGCTCAGGTGGTTCCACCATACTGTTAATGTGATTTGAGGTTGGGTCCTTTGGTTTTGCATCTGTGTCTTGAACACAAAGACAAGAAACGCCTGATTTTCCCCATGGTGCCCACAGCCAGCTCAGTATTGCTCACTCCCAGCCCACTTCTTGGGGTCCAGTCTCCACGCAGAACTATTTGGTGCAAACCTTGATGTGGAGCCTGTGTGTGGCTCTTGTCAGTGGCTGGTATGGCCCACAGTGAGGCTCGTGGTCCCCAGAACCTTCATTCCTCAGGCCCAGCTCCTCCACACTGTGACCCATGAATGTACCATGAGGTGTGAAGGGGGACACATCTAGAGTTTCCCATTGTTTGCACTTGTGGAGGTCACAAAAACTAGCTTGACCCTCAGTGAGCCTGGTGATTGGAAAACCCGGAGAACACTGAAGTTAAAAATTACGACAGCAAGAGATGCACTGCCACAGATCCCCTCAGATCCCCACTCAGCTCAAACACTCCTCCCATCTTCTGTGCAGATTTCTGCAGCAGCTCTGGAGTCCTCTTTCCTGAGGGTCTTTACCAGATGTGATCCCAATAACAGTGACTGCTGTTGCTGAGAGCCAGCCACCAAAAAGGTGGCTCATGAAAACACAGTGCAGTGCCCTCCTTATCCGCCTCAGTCCCCAGATCTGGCACCATGTGACTCCAGGCTCCTCCCCAAAGTCACCATGACCATGAAAGGGAGAGGTTTTGAATCCATCCAGGACATGGAGGCAGCCAGAACAGCACACTAAAGACCCTCAGAAAAGAGGACTCCAGAGTGCTGCGGGAAGTGACCAGGATGTTGGGACATGTGTGTGCAAAGTGAGGGGAGGATCTGAGGGGATTCATGGCCATGTATCTTTCACTGTAATAGATTTTAAAAATTCAAGCAGTCACCATATTCTTAGTCACACCCCATATCTGGTGGCTGAGTCTCACAGAGCGCTGTGCACCCACCCACGTCCTGCTTCCTAAGGCCTCTTCCCTTCCCTGCTGGGGGATGCTAAGGCCCAGGGCTGCAGCTGAGCCCCTGTTTCCCAGGCGTCACGTTCAGCTTGTCACCCGCCCTGTCATTTGTCGCTGTGGATCTCAGTGCCCAGCTTTTCCCTCTGCAGAAGTCTCCGGCTCATCTAGCACTGATTCTGCAAAGCAGGCAGTCTGAGAACAATGCAAAATCAGGGCTTCATCAGGATGCTGCCTGTGATGCTGTCTCCCAGCCCAGGCATCAGCTCGGTTCTTCCGGGATGCAGGGACAAAGGATGCTTGAATGTTAAACATGTACTGGGGGCAGGGGGTGGACAGTCATCTACATCCATGGATTTCTACCAACTCAGCCAGAGCCGCGACAGCTGAGGGTTCTGCATCTCGTGAGTCCTGCATGGTAACTGTGCCTCCTCGAGGGGCCTTGACAGTGGTCGGAGAAGAGACCCTGCTTAGCTGCGGGATTCGAATATTAGGAGGCACTGCTCTGTAAAGGTGCTGGGGCACACGTTGTGTTTTTCAGGTGGCTATTGTGAAAGGCAGTTTGAACATGCTGGGGATGGAACCTGCTTTGGGCAAAATGCCTTTACAGTTCCTGTGATTTACCTGCAGAAGATTTCAAAGAGAAGCGTACCCCACTGCGCTGAAAGAGCCTGCAGTAGGAATGGAGGCCTGCTCTCTCCTAGAACCTGCACCGGCTGTGTCCACAGGTCTCGGGTGGAGTTCAGTTATTCATGGAAGAGGCAGTTGAGACAGAGTCTCACTGTGTAGCCCAGGCTGGCCTCACACTCCCAGAAACCCTCCCACCTCAGCCTCCCGAGTGCTGGGATGACTGGGAACGCCCCTATGCCTGGCTTTCCACATCCATCTTTTGAGGAGGTTGGGCGGGGCCACCAGTGAGCCTCTACAGAGGAGGCCTCCAGTCTGCCTCGTCTGCCTGGGACAAAGTCACTGTCCAGGCCAGCGACAATCAGTTTCTTAGTGATCCTGCTTGGACCACAGCGACCTCGTCCACCCAGAGACTTCTGTGCCCAGGACAGCCAGAGCCTGGGCCCTGACACTTCCTCTGAACCATACACAGGCCACTGGGAGACACAGGTGGCTCAGCTCAGGAGAGGTCCCGAAAACTCGAAGGAGGGACTTTGACATTGCAGGGTGTGGTGATGCATTCCTGCAACCCTGGCACTTGGAAGGCTGAGGCAAGAGGATCACCATGAGTTTGAAGCCAGCCCATGCTATACACCAAGACTCTGTCCCCCCCAAAAACCAATACCAATGATACCCCCTTTTGTTGTTGAGAGAATTAGGAAAAAACCATGACTGCCTAGCATAGGAGCATAGGGCCAGGCAGGGAGGTGTTCAGTAAATGCAGCCTGCCATTCTTCCCTTCTTTCCTCCTGGTTTTCTTGCCAATACTGATACTGAACTCAGGGTTTTCTCACTAAACTACACCCTCAGTCCTTATTAATTAGTTAGACTTTTGAGGCAGGGTCTTACTATGTGTTGCTAAGATCTCCAGGCCGGACCAGAACTTGTGATCCTCCTGCCTCAGCCTCCCAGAGTGCTGGGATGACATGTGTGCATCTTCTGTTTCTTGACAGGAAGTTGCTTTCTCGGGCTCCACCTCCATCTTGAGAGGTGGCAAGAGGTGGCTTGGCAGGAAAGGAGATGAAGAGAATCCTTCAGCATCTCCAAAACTGGTCCCCAGGAAGGTCGGCTGGTGGCAGACAGCCCAGAGCGCAGGAAGACAAGAGGCCTCCGGAGAACGAGGAGGAAGAGGTCACCAAAGGGCAGAAGGAGGCACAGCCAGGAGACAGGGGCTGCTGCTGCCTGCCTCAGTTTCCCCTTGGTCCTTTGTTTTGTCTGAGACAAGAACGAAGCTGTGTCATCCCTGATCAGGCCATCCCTGACGAACTGTGTATGAAGACTGTGTAGGAGTCCCAGCCAGGGTCACAGCCCAGTGTGTCCATCTGTCTGGTGTCACCGCTTGCTTCAGGTCCCCCTGCCTCAGGAAAGCCAGGGACTCCCCTTGGCCTCTGGCCCTGAGAAGGGTGGTGTCCCCTATGCCCACCCGGATCCCCATCTCGCCCAGGTAATCTCCAGAAACCGGTGCCGCGACCCCAGACAAGGGGCAGGAGGGTCCCATGCCGGCCGGGCCGCAGGCAGTGGAGTGGGAACCCACCCTCCGCCCCCTGCTCCTGCTCAGCCTTGGGAGGAGGGCTGGCCCCACCCCACCCTGGCTGCCATGTCCCTGCAGCCTTTTCAGCTTCAACCCAGCAGTTCTGTCAGGAATCAGTGTCACCCGGGAGGCGGCCGGGCCTGGCCGGGGACTTCCCAGCTCCACCGCCGGAAGGCGGACTCTATTAGAAAAGGGAAATGTTCCTCGGCCCTCAGATGGCAAGCGCCTAAAAATAAACTAATAGACCTTAAATTAACTTTTTCTTTCTTCCACCCCAACCCCCCACGTTTCCATCAAGGCTTCTTTTCAACTGGAAGGAAAAGCATTTATTATCTGAGAGTGACACGCAGGAAATTAGACTTATAAATTGTGCTTAAAACGTTATAGTTTCCAACTTTCTTTAATGCTAATCTTCACGCTAATAGGTTGTGAGATACGTGTTTTGACGTGAGAGGTTTTTTCCTCTCTAATTAATTCTCGGCTGCAGCACAGGAAGCATTTGTGGTGGAGGAATTCCAGGAGCATTTGGCGCTGCTGGAGGAGGAGACTCCTGTCAAGTCTGAGGGGGCCATGTTGCCAGAGAAGCTTCTAGAAGGATTTTTCTCAGTTGCTGTTAACTCTGTTCAAGCAGAGCCGAAGTCCTCCACTGGGAAATGGGACACAAAGGCCTGTGTTGCCTTGGTGTTCTGACCCCAGTTATTTGCACAGTCCTGGCCTTCCACCCTTCTAAACATGGATTTCCTGTTCCTGTGTGGGAACCTTCAACTTCTCCCACCCGGCCCAGGCATAGTTTTCGCCATGCCACTCCCCACCTGGAATCTCCATGTGACTCCGCCATTTTTACATAGGTTCTCACAGCTGTAGTCCACCTTGAGCTCCTTTGGTGTCGGTTCTCCCCGATATGAGAGGACTGCTCTCCACAGCTCACGCCATGACTTCTGCCTCAGCACCCTTTCCTGGACACGTAGGATGACATGGCTGTTAGGTGAGACTGAGTGACCTGTGTTGAACTATGACTTGTAAAGGCACTGAGCCACAATGCCTTGGGATGTCACACACGTTAGTCAGCTTCTGACTTGGGGAAAGCAGTGCAGAGAAGACAAGATTCACCTTGGCTCACGGTTTCTGAGGCTCAGTCCATGGTCACTTGATTCCATGGTTTCTGGGCCCGTGGGAGGTGGAAAGATCATGACGGATGGGCGTGTCAGAGGACAGCTGCATGCCTCCTGGCAGCCGTGAAGCAGGGAAGAGAGAGTGCTCCAGAGAGAAAGGGCTGAGGCTGAGACCCAGTCCCAGGGTCACATCCCATCCAGCCCCTTCCACCAGCCCATACCGCTGTACACTCATCAGTGGGTCAGCCCATCAGCAGGGTGGGGATCCTCATGACCCAAGCACGCTCTGAGAGCCCCACTGTGACCACAGAAGCCTTTAGGGGAACACTTGATCCAAGTCTTAACCCTATATGAAGAGATGGTAACATGGCAGTCAGGTGGACATGGGAACACACGCCTGGGTCAAAATAAAAAATTAAAAGGGCTGGGGATGGAGCTGGGGCCCTGGGTTTTTATCTGTCCTGTCCCTTTGGATGTCGAGTTCCAGGCAGACAGCACATGGGGTTACAGGGGACACTGTACCCCTGCACAGAGCTCTCCATTCACACCCCGGGGGCCTCACATGTGAAAGTCATTATGTCATTGTTGTTAGCATACTGGGATTGAACCAGGGCCTTTGCTCTAAGCTGCATTTCCAGCCTTTTTTATTTGAGCCAGGGTCTTGCTAAGTTCCTAAATTGCCCAGGCTGGGCTCAAACTTGTAGTCCTCCTGCTTCAAACTCCAAGGGTTCTAGGAATCATTTTTTTCACCATTTTTTGCTTTCTTTTTTGTCTTGAGACATGGTCTTGCCAAGTATCCCAGACTGGCCTGAACCCTCAGACATCCTCCTACCTCAGCCTCTGAGCCTGGGATGGCTGGCTTGGGCTTGCTCCCAGCCTGCTCTGCTCCAGCCCAACCTCCTTCCCCTGTCCACTGAGATGGGCGGATCTCCAGCAAGGTGAATGTGCCAGGTACCTCTAGCCCAGAGCTAACCTCACCACAAGGCTTTGGCCTCCTTCTCCTGTTTGTAACCGGAGGACATGCACTTTTCTGCTTCGCCAGGCAGCTGAGATAGTGACATGTCCGGTGGCTATGCTGGAGTGCCTGGGTGTGGAGAAGCAACCATGCCACTGTCCAGGGCACAATGGGACCAGCAGGGCTGAGTCCCCACACCCTCGGTGTCCTCTCTGCCTCCTCCTGGAGGGAATGTGTCCCTGGCCACAGAGGCTGTGGCCTCAGTATCCCCTCAGGCTCCCCAAACCTTGCTGCATGCGGTTCCCTTGTTCACACAGAAGGTGCAGTCTGAGTCTCATGGGGGACAGTAAGGGACACGAAGGAGGATGGCAGGGGACCCACTGTGAAGCCAGGGGGCCATGGGTGATGGGAACAATAGACACGGTGGATGGCAGTGGCCTCAGGTCCCCAAAAGGGGACTTGGCTGAGGTACGGCTTCCCACAGGGACCCAGAAGCAGCCTTGGTGACCAGCTGTCCTGCCCAGTCCTCCTGGCAAAGGATACATGTGACACCATGGCACAGGGACTCTCCCTGCTGAGGACACTGTGACGCTGAGCCCTGGACACTCGAAACCAAACCAGCAAGGAGAAAACCAGAAAAGCTGCTCTAAGCCAGGCAGGGCTGCCAAGCCTAGGACCCCAGCATCTCAGGAGGCTGAGGTAGGAAGATGGCAGGGCTGGGCCAGCAGGTCAACTTAGCAAGACCCTGTTTCAACATGCAAAATGAAAGAGGACTGGGGATGTAGCTCAATTCGGAGGACTTGGGCTCGATTCCCCAGGACTGGAAAGAAACAGAGAAAGGAAGGCAGGACCAAAAGCCACCTCCTGCCCCCGGCTCACTCTCCAGGTAGCTGCAATAGAAAGGACAGTGACAGAGGGCTCCTGGTCCAGTGCTAGGAGCAGAATCCCCATGTTCCCATGGCTGCAGGGTGGCGGGGGAGGGCACGGGGTGGAGCTGGAGGTGGGGCGGTTGCCCTCACTGTCTGCCAACATTCATTGCACACAGCGCCAAGCCCTGGCCCTCGGGGACAAGTCTTAACTGTGGAGACACTCGCTGAGCATACCCTGCCTCAGTTTCCCCACACAGGAAGCGGTGACTATGGTGGTGACCAAGTCAGCGCAGGTGAGGATGCTGGCCCTGCGGGCTGTGCTGGGGCTGGGTTTTCACCAGCAGGAGTTGACAGGGCCTCCGTATCCCACAGCTGTTCAGTAAACACCGCACTGGCTAAAAGCAGGGTGCGTGGAGGAGCAAAGGCCTGGGGGAGCTCTGGGAAGGTGGTTAACAAAGAAGCCACTGCAGCGTGAGACGGTTGTCACCTTTACCTCCAACTTCAAGTCACAGCCAATTAGAGTTTGACAGTTCTTTTTTTTTTTTCCTTTTGCTGGATGGAATCCAGGGCTTCCCACTGAACTGCATCCTCAGCACTTTAAAAAACAAATCTAAATTTTGAAACAAGTTCTCACTAAGTCATGGAGTCAAATACATGACCCTCCTGCCTCAGCCTCCCAAGTGTGGGGGTCACAGTGTCTGCAGCACATGTCTGATCACGGCTGTGTGTCCTGCAGCCACCAGGTCAGTGCTCATCTCACATCCAAGTCGCTCTCGGGCTGCAGCAGATGAGTGCACCGTGGCTGGGCTTTGCCTGTCACCTGGAGAATGGTAAGCAAGGTGACCAGTGGGGCTCCCTGGGAGTCAGGCATTGGTGTGAGGGGCCTGGCACTGGCTACCAAGGGAACACGGGGGCGCCATGCAGGCCTCTTGCTTCCTTCCTGGGGCCTCTCGGGGGGCACAGCCCCACCGTGTGGGGACAAAGGCCCCTTTGAGGCCCCGCGGGGGCAGTGTGGCCCTGAGGGCGGCATCCGGGCAGGGGCGGCGGTGATGGATGACCAGCCGGCACACAGGCTATTTCGGGGCCTCCTGCCTGGGAGGCTGAGTCCCTGGGGCGTGGGGCCACTGACCCGGAAACAAATGAAAGGCTCAGCCTTCCGACTGTTTCCAGCTGCCCCTCAATCCGGAACCAGGGGCTGAGAGGAACCCGGGACACAGCCTCCGGCCAGCATGGACCCCAGAAGGATTGTGGGCCCGGCTAGGCTGCCCAAGAGGCAGCTGCCATTGAGGCACAGGGTAGCGGGTAGGGGTGCTGAGGGCCCCAACACCCTGACTCATCTGCTTTCTCCACAGAGAGCCCCAGCTCAGCGCCTCTGCCATGCTACCCTCTCACCGGGCCTAGGGACCATGACATGTGGAGGCTGCCAGCTGTCCCTGAGCTGCCCCCTGCTGGTCACCACAGTGCCCCTGAGGCTCCAGGCAGTCCTCAGTGTGCCAGGGAAGTACTTTGTAGATGGAGGGATGAGTGGGCAGATGGGCAGAAGAGGGATGGATGGATGATAGGTGATGGGTGGTGGATGGACGATGAATGGATGGATGCAGGTAGATGATGGATGGATGGATGGGAGATGGCTGGATGGTGTATGTATGAATGAGTGGATGGATGGTGGGTAGATGACGTGATGGATGATGGATGATGTGCGGGAGTTGAAGGACAGATGACAGACAGAAGATAGATAGGTGGATGGCGCTGATGAGTGGATACAGATGAGTAATGACGACGAATGGGTGACTGATGGTGGATGTGGAAGGAGACCTGATTGAATGAAGAGCCAGTGCTTACACAGGCCACACAAAGATGAAAGCAAGCTGACAGGAGTATCTTTTATGTTGCTTATTAATTTGCCCTTTCTCATTCTCTGTCTGTTTCCTCTGTACTTGGGATTGAACCCAGGGCCTTTATACGGAGGTACATCTCCTGCCCTTTTTCTTTTCCTTGTTCAGTTTTTATTTTGAGACAGGGTCTTGCTAGGCCACTAGGTTGCCAAGGCAGGGCTCAAACTTGCAATCCTCTTGCCTCAGCCTCCCAGACTATGGGCCTATTCTCCACAGCCAGCTCTGCTCAATCATTAGGTGTCAGCACAAAGCCCTGTTCCCGGGGTCCTTCCCACACAGACCTGCTCTTCTCCTCTTGTCACGAGCCATGGACAGGCCTGACACCAAACATGGTGTCATGTTTGGGGTTATCATGGGCCGTAATGCTGCCCCTGTCGTTGGGGGAGGACAGACCGCAAGACTCCTCAGGGAGCACCCAAAATATCAGGTTCTGTGAGGAACCACTGGAACTGAGCCGGGGAGCAGCCAGAGTCCCTCGACCATGCTCAGGGACCCCGGCCTAGTGGCCTCCTCCCGCAGGCCCTGGGAGGTCTGCGCAGGGCAGGAGGAGCCACGCCCGAGTTGGCTAGCGCACGCCGCGTCCCGTCTGTGCCTGCGCAGCCCTGGACAGGCAGGAGGAGGTCTTCAGGTGAGCCGGAGCCCGACGCAGGTGTTGTAAGCACCGTGTCCACGTCCCGCGGTCATGTGACCTGCAGCGCATCTAGGGCAGGCGAGAGACAGGTAGCAGCGTTTTTCTGCCTCGCACGCCACCGGTGAGGACAGCGCCTGCCCCTGGGGCGCTGGCGTCCTCCAGAGCTCCGGGCCGCCAGGCGGGGCGTGGCTTCTGTGCTCCAGGGGTGGCACAAGGTCCGAGTTGGAACTGCGTATGTCCAAGGCTAAGGCACAGAGAGCGTGGCTGGGGGTGGAGGAGAAGCGGTTTGGCCTGACGCGCTCGGGCCTGCTCGCGTCTGAGCCCTGCACACCCGGGGCAGCCGCGCTGGCTGGGAAGGGACCTGGGACAGCCTGTCTGCTGCGCTTGCCCCTTGCCTCAAGGATGCCACTGCCCAAGGCCGGAAAGGGGCCCACATCCAGCCAGGGTGACATGAGAGCCACAACTGTGGCCCGCAGCAGCCAGCGGCTGGAACA